CCCTAGAAGCCCCCCCCCTGTTGCCCCCCCCCCCCGCACCAAGAATACAGAGCATCACTTGCCATGGCCTGAGAGTTCCTATCTATACGTTGGGGCTAATAGCCACTGATGGACTTCTGCTCCATATGTTTATCCAATTTCCTCTTATAAGAACATAAGAGAAGTCAATGTTGGATCAGGCCAATGGCCCATCCAGTCCAACACTCTGTGTCACACAGTGGCCAGAAATACCAGGTGCCATCAGGAGGTCCAGCAGTGGGGCCAGGATTCTAGAAGCCCTCCCACTCCCCCCCCCCAAGCACCAAGAATACAGAGCATCACTTGCCCCAGCCTGACAGTTCCTATCTCTACCTTGTGGCTAATAGCCACTGATGGACCTCTGCTCCAGATGCTTATCCAATTATAAGAACATAAAGAGAAGCCAATGTTGAATCAGGCCAATGGCCCCTCCAGTCCAACACTCCGTGTCACACAGTGGCCAAAAAGACCAGGTGCCATCAGGAGGTCCACCAGCGGGTCCAGAACTCCAGAAGCCCTCTCAATGTTGCCCCCACCCCAAGTATCAAGAATACAGAGCATCACTTGCCCCAGCCTGAGAGTTCCTATCTCTACCTTGTGGCGAAGGGGCATTGATGGACCTCTGCTCCATATAAGAAGCCCTGTTGGATCAGGCCAGTGGCCCCTCCAGGCCAGCACTCTGTGTCACACAATGGCCAGGGGCCATCAGGAGGTCCACCAGTGGGGCCAGCACCCCAGAAGCCCTCCCACTGTTGCCCCCCAAGCACCAAGAATACGGAACATCACTGCCCCAGACAGAGTGCTCCATCTTGAGGCCAATAGCCACTGAAGGACCTCTGCTCCATATGTTTATCCAAGCCCGTCTTGAAGCCGTCTGTGCTTGTAGCCGCCACCACTTCCTGTGGCAGTGAATCCCATGTCATAGGAAACCACATTCGCAAAAACGTGTTTATATGAATAAAATGAGGAGCTGCGGTGGCTCAAGTGGTTAAGATGCTGAACTGAAGGCTGTGGAAGGTCGGTAGTTCAGCAGTTCGAGACCTGGGTTGCCGCATGATGGAGTGAGCTCCCGTCTCTAGTTCCAGCTCCTGCCAACCTAGCAATTCAAAAACAAGAAACTGCAAGTAGATAAATAGGTACCACTTTGGTGGGAAGGTAACAGCGTTCCGTGTGCCTTGGTGTTTAGTCATGCCGGCCACATGACCAGGGAAACGTCTTCGGACAGCGCTGGCTCTTCGACTGGCTTTCGAGCAAGGGAACCTTTACCTTTACCTTTATGAATAAAATAAAATAAATAAATATATATGACGTATTTTATTTCTGTCATTTGTGATGCAGAGGGGAAGGCCCTGTGCCGGCAACTGCCTGGGGCCGAAGTGTGGTTGTGTGTGCCTCATACAGAAGCTGGTCTGAGAACCGGGGAGGAGCGTCTGGATTTAGGACACAACCGTTGGGCCAGGGGGAGCTCCTCCGGGACGGCACAGGATGGAGAAGGACGGAGGTTCTTGCAACGCTCATGATACTGGAGGGGGAGGAGAAGCTCCCGTGGAACGGAAAGAAGAGGCTAAAGCTGGTCTTGAACCAGGACAGGCTGTAACGGGAGGCCAGAGCCCAAGTAATGCAAAAGGAGTGGAAGAGAGCCAAGTCCACGCTGAAGAGCCAAGCCACGCTGGTGCAGGAGGAGAGAGCTCCGCTGGTACCAAAGCAGTGGAGAAGGGCCAAGTCCCCGCTGAAGAGCCAAGCCATGCTGGTGCAGGAGGAGAGAGCTCAGTCGACGCCAAAGCAGTGGAGAAGGGCCAGGTCCCCGCTGAAGAGCCAAGCCACGCTGGTGCAGGAGGAGAGAGCTCAGTCGACGCCAAAGCAGTGGAGAAGGGCCAAGTCCATGCTGAAGAGCCAAGCCACGGTGGTGCAGGAGGAGAGAGCGCAGGTGACACTGTGGGGGCGAAAGAGAATCGAGCCCAAAAGAAGCAACCCCAGCTCCAACCAAGCTTTAGCTGCCCACCGACCCTGGAAAGGTAAGACTCCTGGGCCCCCTACGGCTCTGAGTGTGGGGCAACTTGGGGTGCTTTGGGTATGGTCGTCGCCCTCCGTTTGCACATCCACAGTGAAGACCAGTTATCGAATCTGAGCTACGGATGTGCCACAGGCCGCCAGAAGGCCCAGGTGCAGCCCTTGCGTAGGGCTGCTTCACAGACGACCGTGCTGACTTCAGGGTAGCGATCTGTGCGTGTCCTGAGTGCAGATCTTACGTCTGCACAGGCCACCCTATATGCACGAGCAGGATGGAAGAACTGGGAAGAAAGCTGTGTGGGCTAGTGAGGGCCGGGCAGCTCCTGGAGTCCTGGGCGGGGTTCCTGGTGAAGGCAGAGTTTAGGGAGCGGAAGGACGAAGCAGCCATTCTCTCCAGGAGAACTGATCACAGTAGGGCAGAGTTCAATTGTAAATCTGGATGGTCTCCCCGGCCCCCCTCTCTTTGAGGTCAGTAGCCTTATTTGTGGCTTCCCAGAGCACGTGCACGTTTTAGGTTACATGTGTGCAGGGCTCATTTCCTGCAGGAGCGCACAGGAGCGGAGCTCCGGCAGTTAAGAGATCCAACATTGGCTTCTCTTTATGTTCTTATGTTCTTAAGTTGTTCCTTTTATCGGTACTAAGCTGACTGCTCGGGATCCCTTTAAATGACTGTGGGAAGAAGCAGGGGGGGGCCTCTTTAAGGAAGGGGGCAGAGCCCCCCATAGCCCCCCCATCGCTATGGGCCAGCCCCAACCTTTTTGAGCCTATGGGCACCATTGGAATTCTGACAGAACAGGGGGCACAGCCACAAAATGCTTGTGCTGCGCCGGCAGCTGCAGCCAAAGCAACATTTTAAAACAGAGTGGGGTGCTGTAGTTGACTAATTCCCACACTGGGCAAGGGGGTTGGAGTAGGTGACCTCTAGGATCCCTTCTGACTCTGTGCCAAAAACTGGTTTCCTTGAAGAGAGTTTTTCTGCCCAAGTGTTAGCTGTCTGGACTATCGAAGTCATCACCCACCCACCCCCATGCCGGTTTGTTATCGGAGTTGTTGCTTAGGTTGGCAGAAGTGATTAACTTGCAGCAGCTGAGAACTGTCATCTAAAGCGGTTGCCAGCTTGCAGTTTAGAGATCTATCCTGGTAACAGCTTTCTATCAGCTGAAGGGCTACTGCTCGGGATCCCTTTAAATGACTGTGGGAAGAAGCAGGGGGGGGCCTCTTTAAGGAAGGGGGCAGAGCCCCCCATAGCCCCCCCATCGCTATGGGCCAGCCCCAACCTTTTTGAGCCTATGGGCACCATTGGAATTCTGACAGAACAGGGGGCACAGCCACAAAATGCTTGTGCTGCGCCGGCAGCTGCAGCCAAAGCAACATTTTAAAACAGAGTGGGGTGCTGTAGTTGACTAATTCCCACACTGGGCAAGGGGGTTGGAGTAGGTGACCTCTAGGATCCCTTCTGACTCTGTGCCAAAAACTGGTTTCCTTGAAGAGAGTTTTTCTGCCCAAGTGTTAGCTGTCTGGACTATCGAAGTCATCACCCACCCACCCCCATGCCGGTTTGTTATCGGAGTTGTTGCTTAGGTTGGCAGAAGTGATTAACTTGCAGCAGCTGAGAACTGTCATCTAAAGCGGTTGCCAGCTTGCAGTTTAGAGATCTATCCTGGTAACAGCTTTCTATCAGCTGAAGGGCTTTTCTTTCTGCACTGAGAACTTCATCCCCGCCAGAAAAAAATTTGCTTCACAAACAGTGTTCCCTCTAAGCTGAGTGAGTGTGAGCTAGCTCACAGTTTTTAAGCCTCTGGCTCACACATTCTTGTCTTAGCTCAGGAAGGAGGGCTCCAGAGCAGACTAATTTATGCAGAAGCCAAATCGCTCACTCACAATTTTAATGCCAGTAGCTCACAAAGCAGAATTTTTGCTCACAAGACTCCACAGCTTAGAGGGAGCATTGTTCACAAGCCACAAAATCCTGGCCAAGGGCCTGCAACTGGGCATTTATATAGTGTTACCCAGGGGTCATTTCGTAGAAAAAGAGGTGCAGGCGCTCATTAGCATAACTCATTAGCATAACTTATTTGCCTATGCCACAGGGAGGGAGGGAGGGAGGGAGGGAGGGAGAGAGAGAGAGAGAGAGAGAGAGAGAGAGAGAGAGAGAGAGAAAGAAAGAAAGAAAGAAAGAAAGAAAGAAAGAAAGAAAGAAAGAAAGAAAGAAAGAAAGATGGAAATAAGGAGGAAAAGAGGGAAAGAAGGAAAGAAGGAGGGGAAAAGAAAGAAAAAAGGAGGAAAA